CCGGTATGGTCGGCCACCCCTTCCCAGTTTTCGCGGCAACGCCCAAGTGCGGAGGACCGCAGCAACCTTTGTCCCTGTGCGCCCCCTCTGGGGCTGGGGCCAATACCCAAGCCAGCCAGCCACGCCATTTTCGCTGGGGATGGTTTGGCTTACATACACACTGGTTTGCCCTGCTCATGAATATGATACTTCAGCAATTTGTTTAGCTTGTTTACCCCCAAGCCACATTTCACATTTCACATGCGCACTTTCCTTTTTCTCTTTTTCCCTCTCCCACTTCTTCCCTCCCTCCCTATCTACCTACCATACACACACGACTTCAGCCTGCAACGCAGGACCGGTACGGCGCGGTATGATACTTGTACCATGCAAGAAGAAGAGCGAAACCTTGATCAACCGGTTATGAGGCTGATATGAATACCTGTAAATCAGAAAAAAAGGGTTTCACCCACACTGACAAAGTTGCCCTTCATACTTGTACAGGTACTTTACTCGAGTAGCATTGATCCCTGCGCATAATTCCAACTCTCCTCGTACAGTGCTCCCCGCTTTGCTAGCGACTTCGGACACCCACCTCCTGCCTTCTTCAACAGGGCTGCGGGGAAACTTATAAATATCAAAACTGCTGCTGCTGCTGCTGCCGGGAACAAGGCAATCCTGGATGCTCCCCTTTCGGAGAAAACGCAGGAACGGAGAAAGGAAGAAGAAGAAGAAAAAAATATATAATTTTCCCCGACTTTTATGGTCGCACTGGTTTAACCGCCGACCGAATGTGTAAGGGATCCGGTTAAAAACAAAAGCTTGCCGGGAGGAGCAAAACAAATCCACCTGTCTGGCAGGCGGTCAGTCGGTCTCGCCTTTTCCTTCTCCCTTATTCCACTCTGCACTCCGCGACACGGTCAATCACTCATTTACTGAGCCAATGGCCGGTTATTGCTTGTTGCCGCATCGGTTCGTTGTTTAGGATATAGCACGGTGCATGTTCTCTTTCGTCCACACCGGGTACGTTTGCGGGAATGTTTACCAGTCATTGGTACTCGAGTACTGTGCCAGTGCTTGTTGTGCCTTACACAGCATATTTCTCTTTGCAGTTGGGGGGGGGGTTATCGGAAGTGTGTGGTACAGCTGTTGGCTCCCTTTCGCAACCTTTAGGAAATTCACAATACTGTTACAGGTAATGGGGACTTGTGAAATCATGTGGGTGAGCCCAGAGAATAGAGAAAACCTCTTCTTAACTTACAAATATCAAGTCTACTATTACATGGATCGCGTCCCGATCGCCCTAGAAGCGTTTCACAAGTAGCTTTTGCTCTCATGATTACAAGCGCAGATTACTCGTACTGCCGTTACGGCCGACCAACCCGTTCCCCCGTTCCCCCGTTCCCCCGTTCCCCCTTCTTCAATCCTGTCTCCGCACCATCTCCTCCATGTCAGATTCAATAGGAAGCTTCCATGATAAATTGCCTGATCGACGAATGGGGCGTGTGCGTAAAGGGTAGCCATTCAATAGGATGGAATCCTGATGCAATAAAAGAGACCGAAATATGAATCCGAGCGAGAAATACACCGGTATCTCTGCAGGACGAGATAGGACATCTGCGGTAGGTATCTGATTGTACTAGTACACCACCAGCATACCGGACTGGTACGGTAGTCTATCTTTTCAAATGGCTTTCTCGCCCCAATTCTTGTATGGTGCCGGCACCTTAGAATCGACCCTCAGTGCCATCCGGGTCTGGGCACTAGTCCTAATGTAGTATCTGACCATACTGCTTTAGGCAATGTGTTGGTGTATTACTCAGCAAAAACTTACTTTTCACACACAAGTGCCAACCTCCTTGCTCCACCCAAATTTTGCCTCAACTTTAACAGCTATTATAGAAAGAACCACACCCCTTGGATAAAATCTGCTCTGTAAATGTGTTCTTCATATGTTTTAGGAGGATTATACAGAAGGAATAAGTAAAATAGTGATATGTGACATTGTTGTTGCCTGCCGAAAAGTTGGGAAAGTTTGGTTGTCCTGATGGTTGATTCTAAGGTGCCGGCACCATACTTGTACATGTGCTCAAATGACGGACACGTACCACCCGCTAGTGGCACAGTTAATTAACCTGCGCCCTTGCGGTACCCGTACTCCTACGGTGAAAGCGGGAGAAGGAGGGAGAAGGACCTGTAGTTGCTATGGCCAGCTGCTTCTGTCCTAACTCCCTTGGGATCCCATATCTGGTCCCTCTTCTCTCACTCGACTTTTGATTCTGATCTTTTTCCTCCTCCACCTTCATGACCGATAGTCTACCATCTTCCTAGGCACCGGTGCTGGTAGAGCAGAGGGAGCCCAATTGAACCGTACAGTGCCCGCACACGAAGCAAAAAATAGATAAAAATAAGGGTAAAAATAAAAAAAAGAACATCTACTACCAGGCGCATTCGAGCACAGACAAAGCCAAAGCACAAGCATATGAGCGCGAGGCTTGATTTGCACAGAAGACTCCATGAGAGATATCAAGCTGCACTAGACACAACGGTAGTGGTGCTTTTGGCAAATCATTCTCACTCGCTACCTTCCTAGCTAATTGTGGCCGGGGAAGTGCGCGAGGCGGGTTATGTACTGAAGGAAGTATTCTTTCTCTTGTGGGCTGGAAGAGCTGATCCTATCCGTAGGTCCAGGAGTTGGCCAAGGCGTGGAATACTTGTGCATACCTCTACTCGTAGTCTATACGGTGGACGCTCTTGTTGTCACTATTCGCGGGCAAGGTCGAGGAGTACTTGTGCGAGTACTGTACAGTACTGGTATTATACGGCATGATGTTCGAGCACGCTTGGGTTTAGTTACAAGTACTCGAGCACAAGTAACCCCTCCCCCCTGAAGGAAAACTACTCGTATAAGTGCGTGTAGGGGCTTCCCGGTCGAGATTGATATAGCTCATGCCTTTACTTTATCGTAGAGTACTTGCATCTACCGGTATACGGGATCCCCTCTTGGGCACAATACCAACATCCTAAACCATAAGTCGCCCTGATATCGTGAGGGACCAGGGCATGACGGAACATCGACGATAGTCTCTATCCATCCTTTCATCCCCGGTGCCTATTGGTTCTTGCTGCACAGGAAGGGCTGTCACATCCCTGCCCTCATTCCGGTTCACGAGTGCTCGTACTAGTACGAGTACAGCAAGTCAATCCCTCCATCACGCCCGATGGATGGAACTACCGTATAATCTCGAAGAATTGGGCTGGCTTGGCAGTAAGACGCAATGAAGGGGTCCCGGGTCCTTCATACCCAATTTGGCAATAAAACAACCTCATGTCCATTTTTTTTCTTTTGGAGGAGGGTTTTGGATGACCATTCCCTTTTTTGGCCCAAGCATATTACCTACTTTGTAATAGATCGACATTTTCGTGGTGTTTTGTATTGGGAATTCTGTTGAGGCGCACTGCCAAGCCAGCCCAACTTCTCGAGATTACTCGAGTATACGGTATTGCCATACTGGCACCATAGCGCACTGTGGTACGAGGAACCACCGATTATACCTCCCTCCGGAATAGTGTCCTCGAGTACTCGTGCTGGTACTGGTGCTGGTACGGTGGGTATGTTTTCCGAATGGGGGGGGTTGAGAGGTTTTCATGGTATTCTTATTTTATTTTATTTCTCAAAAACGTAGTACACCCGCAGTGACAGGTCAAGCTAGATACTGTGGGTAGGTTAGGGGATCGTAGAGTACCGGTGTGTTCGCCTTCTTTTGTGCTATCATAATTATGCGTATGACACTTGATCCCGTGTGATGTCCGGGCTAAGGTTAGGAAACTGTAAATTACCGTAAATTTACTGTAAAATATAATAATTTATGTAAAGTATTTCACCTCAGAAATAAAATGTGGTTGAAGTTCAAGCCAGGAAATCTCCAACATTTTGTTTTTGAAGAATTCTTTGTATATTGTACATATAATATGAGAATCTCAAGTTAGTCAAAAGTACTTCATAGTTGGTAATCTCCATCATTTTTTTCCCAGTCTGTATCCTAAGTGTTAATACTAATTGCTCACTATTGAGCTATTTATTAATTAAAACTACAGTCTGATCCAGCAATTACTGAAGCTCTAGCAAGTTTCCTGTACTTTAAGATATGATACTACATTCAATAGTTTGCTGCAAATTGGGAGCCCTACTTGCAAATGATGGGTTTATTGATTGAGATATTAGGATTTAGGGTACATGAAAACCCTAGCCTTGTAAATTACGTATGTAAATTGTAAATTATATTTTGCAAATTACTGTAATTTATTTGTAAATTTCCTAACCTTAGTCCGGGCAGGCCAGAGCAGCTGGTATGAGTTGGTAAGCAGCAATTGTACTCGAGTATTCGTGCGGATACGGTGGGCAGGCCGGTGCTTCTCTTGTTTGGTTGTTTGAGGGACGGGGGTTGGGGTATCCACGAGGGTGATAGTTTTCTCTCTCTCTATGTGGTCATGATATCATACGATACTCCTTTCTCTCTCCGCCACACACTCTCTTTCTTTCTTTCTTCCTTTCGTAGATTGGGGGAAGGGAAGGGGAAGGGAGGAGTAGGGGGGCGGGCTGTGTAAGGGGGGTTTTTTCTTCGACCAAAAAGGTTTGGCTCGGAATACTGAGTGGTGATTTTCGCCGTTGGAAGCTACAGTTAAGAGCGTGGACCCTGGAGTTAACTAACCGACCGAAACTGAATAACCGGCGATCTGATGCCGGTAATAACCCAACTGGAGCCGCATTTACTGTGCTCGTAATACAAGTACACTTTGACCTTTTGCTTCCCTTTTTCTTTCCTTTTTCTCTTATTTTTATTCTTTATTCCCTCTATTCTTTTTGTTTTTGGTATTCCCGTGATCGTGAACAACAACCAACACAAAGACAGCTTAATCCTCCTCCATCAAAGCCATTCCTACCTTGTTCATCAATTCACCAATCGATCGATTTGTTTTCCCTACGGGGTCTCCAGGAATAATTCTGTTTTATTTAAACAATGACACCAACTCCGGTCTACATTGTCTCTGCCGCCAGAACTCCTCTGGGTGGTTTCCAGGGGTGAGTTTGACTGATCCAATTTTAACCGTGGCGCGGAGGAAGGAAGTCTGTGAGGAGGGGGGCGTGAGGAAGGATTGTTGTGGTTAACGTCTTGGTTTCCCTCGCATCGAACATAGCTCCCTATCGTCACTCACCGCAACTCAATTGGGTTCCCACGCCATCAAGGCTGCCCTTGCCAAAGTTCCCGCCATCGAGGCTGCCAACGTCGAGGAGGTTTTCTTTGGAAATGTTTTGTCGGCCAAGTGTGTTGCCTTTCTTTCTCATCCCATCCCCTTCACTTATACCACCCAGCGGTGTTGCCGTTGCCACTGCTGCAATGGCCAGTTTATGGGAGATTGCATGCTATGATGCATTACGATGGGTTCGATTCTGACATCGGGTATCTACAGCTTGGGACAGAATCCTGCGAGGCAATGCGCACTTGGAGCTGGATTGGCTCAGTCCACCGTGTGCACTACCATCAACAAGGTGTGTGCTTCCGGGATGAAGGCCATCATTCTGGGGGCTCAGACTATTATCATTGGGAATGCCGACGTAAGCTTTTCCCTGGTGAGGGGGAGGGTATTGGTGAAGGGCAATGTCCTTATAATGATGGATGGCGTTTTATAGATTGTTGTTGCCGGCGGAACTGAGTCCATGAGTAACACCCCATACTATATCCCTACAGCCAGAAGCGGGGCTCGTTATGGCAACCAGCAAATGGTTGACGGCGTCGTTCGTGATGGTTTGTCGGACGCCTACGATAACCAGGCAATGGGTTTTGCAGCGGAGGAATGCGCACAAGATTACACCTTCTCGAGGGAGGATTCGGACGCCTACGCTATCAAGTCGTATCAGAGGGCCCAGGAAGCAGTAGCCAACAAGTGGTTTACCGAGGAAATCGCGCCAATCGAGGTTTCCGGTGGGAGGGGAAAGCCTAATGTCCTTGTCGAGGTTGATGACGAGCCCAAGAACGTGAGCTTTAATATCCACTGATCTACGCTGAAAAGAGGAAATCCGACCGGGCTGACGGCATTCACTTTTTTTTTTTTTTTTGAAACGAAACAGTTGAACATCAGTAAGCTCAAGACCGTGCGGCCAGTCTTTGTCCCAGGCACCGGCACCGTCACCGCTGCAAACGCATCCCCAATCTCGGACGGTGCATCTGCCCTGGTCCTCGTCTCAGAGGCCAAGCTCGCGGAGCTCAACCTTGCCCCGCTGGCCAAAATCATAGGCTGGGGTGAAGCTGCAAAGGCGCCATCAAAGTTCACCACAGTGCCCTCTCTTGCTATCCCTAAGGCCCTCAAACACGCCGGCCTGTCGCAGGAGCAGGTCGACTTCTTTGAGATCAACGAAGCCTTCTCAGTCGTCGCGTTAGCTAACGCTAAAATCCTCGGCCTGGACGAGGCCAAGGTCAACGTGAACGGTGGAGCCGTGGCACTCGGTCATCCGCTCGGATGTTCCGGTGCCAGAATCGTCACGACCCTTCTACATGTTCTCAAGCAACGCAAGGGAAGAATTGGGGCTGCAGGTATTTGCAATGGTGGTGGTGGCGCCTCTTCTATCATTGTTGAGGCTGTATGAATGAATGGGTGTTCCCTTTTTTATTGCTGTAGCCTTGTCGCAACGTGTTATCTGGTGGCCTCCAGTTGATGATGGCAACGTTTAGTTATTTTTATTGATACCAACTTTACTGTTTTAGCTTGGCACGAGCTCTTACTCGAGTATATTACTGTACTGTACGAAGAAGAAAAAGAACAAGACCCAAAGTAAGATTTACTGTAACGTAACGCACAGGTCTCGCGTGTGGATATCCCAGTGATAGCCTAGCACTGCTCCCTTACAGCTTGCATTTTAGTGAAAGATCGCCCACCGCCGACAGACAAGGCATCCACTCATCCGCTCGCGCTGCTCAGACCAACCAACCAACCACCAATCAACCCATGCGATATCAACCCATGCGATAACTACCTTTCTCCCCGCTAAATCATACGATACGCTACTGGTGTGCGACACAGATCCCGCCATCATCGGACTCGCGCTATGCCGGTGCTCGAGTACGGTACGTGTACCACTGACTCACCCTACCTTGTAGCCGGTCCGGCCCAGTCCAGTCCAGCAGTCCGTTCCAGCCCATCCAACTCACGTTACCTCCCATCCACACTTCCCCAATGACACCATAACCCGCGAAGGCGAAGAAGGACAGATAAACCGAGTCTCACCCCTTGCCCTCGGGTACCACCGCACCCTCGGAAACCTACGGCAGACCACCGCAAGCAGCAGTACGGTACGAGCAAGCAGCACAGTTAGCGCCCTATGGCTTCCGGGTGTTCGGCTTGTTTTGTTGGCAGATTGTGAGTGAGTGCGTGAGTGAGTGGATGGGTGAACGTGCGCGCGTAAGCAACTTAGGTTCTGGTGAAAATGCCGGGCTCACTTGGGTTTGCGTTTTGATGTGGCGGGCACTGGCGGCGAGTGATTTTTTGTGGAGGCATGGTTCGAGCGGTACAGTACCGTGGGGGTAACTTAGGGTGTTGTGTTTGGGTGGGGGTATCATTGGGGGGGATTTTTTTTTTTTTCGTTATTTATTCTATTTCCCCTATATGATTGGTACCATAGGAGTTGGAGGGCGTTGAGTGAGAGAGTATGATACTGTGTCGTGTTGTATCGTACTGTGTTGCTGTGTTTCTTGTGTGGGTGGAGGTGTGGTTGGTACTGTTCGCGATGTGATGTATCATACGTCAGTGGTTTTTGGCTATTTGGCTGGTGTACGGGGGGTGGGTTGTTTTTTTTTCAATGACTTGGGACGTAGTGATTCGCGCCGGAATGGATTTCGAGTGATGGAATGTGAACATATTTGGGTGGTAAAACTCTTATTATAGGACGTTTTTGAAGAGCTACATGCTTCCGTCACTTGGTAGAGAGACGCGCTTAGGGATAAAAATTGCTGTTTGAGAGCTTTCGTTCGCAATGTGGTACCCCATAGTCTCATTCTCGCACACATGATATAACAGATCCTACTTGACACGCCCTCCATCCCATACCCCGATGCAACTGGACAAAGCAAGGCGGAGAAAGTAGGAAGGGGGAAAGGAAAGATATACTCTAATGTAGACTACACAGCAAACCATTAGGGGGGAAAAGCAAAGTGAGGCAACACCTCTCTATACACTATCTAGCTTGGCTAGTAATCAGGTCGTGGTAAGCGAAGGAACAAGCTTTCACCGCCTTCTTCTGGGAGGAGAGGAAGGAAAAAGTAGGAGGGGGATGGGATGGGGGAGGGGTAGACAATCCTTTTATTCGTCCTCCATCCGCATCCCCGAGATATCTAGTTCTGATCCGGGGTCCTCGGCGCTGTCTTGGGGTCCCTCGTTCGGACTACCCATTGGCGTGTCTTCAGGGGAGCCGCCGTCCTGTGGGGGGAGGAGGGAATTTCTGGCTTTGGGGCTCTGTAGTGGGCTGTTAGCTACACGTGGATATATGGTTATTATGAGGGGTGGGTGGATGGGGAATATACCGAGGGCTGGGTGGTTGGCGCAGTGATAGTTTTCCCACTCATGGGCGCAGCGGTAGCGAGCTTGCAGAGGTTGCAAGCTTTGGAAATCAATTCCCTCTTTGTAACTTTGGTCATCTTTCCTCTAATGGGCAGATCGTCTAATTTGGAGTGTGCGGCAGCTAAATTCACAGCACTGGTGTCCGCAGACGGCTGCTCCTCAAACATCAAGTTCTTGAGTGACATCGGGTTTGCACGGGCCTCGGGTTCCTCCCTGTGCATAAAGATTTGGTTTAGGATCTCAGGGACTAGTTCCGCATATAGCTTTGCGTAGGAGTCCGCGAAGAGATCGTCTATTAGAGGAGTTCTGGCGAGACCTGCGTTTAGGCGACGGAGTTCGAAGACCTCTCGGAGGAGGTCTAGGGTTGGAGATGAAGTTGTAATGAGGTTGCAGTAGGTATCTAGGCGAGCACTGTAGGTATTGAATTCGTCGTATGAAACGTTTTTGAAGACTTCTTCGTCGCTCTGTTCTGGTATGTTGCCGGTTCGCCGGAGAACTCGTATGTAGGCTAAGAAGACGTGTTGCCAGACATCGGTATGGCGGAAAAAGCCTGTGGTTCCTTTCCGCACCCTCTTAGTTACGGCTTCTAATGTGGTCCGGTCGTCTAACTTTTCTAGTAAGTCGACGTAGAACATAGTGTACTTTGAAGCATATACAAAATGCCTGCCGGTTCTGTATTGCACCATTTGCATGTTAGACGTTTAAACCGCGGTGCCAGGGGGAGCGGAGATAGATACCTCTCGTTTTCGGGCTTCCAAATGCTTAAACTGACGGATTTATTAGAGAAGAGACAAGAAATTTCGGTCTTTGCTCCAGCAACATCACCCAACTCGGAGAACTTGAGTTTTCCTGCCCTGTTTGTCATGCGGTGATGCCATTTTGGCTTGTCCGCCGTCCGCATTCTTTTTAGGACTTCAAGAATATACTTAACAAAGGATTCACGGTCCTTGACAGGTTCCATCTTTTTCGTAAAATGCGAGACCTGCAGTATTTCGCATGCTCGCTCGGGCTATTGCTGAGGTTAGTAACGAGGGATCAATGGGACAAAATAAATCGCAGCTGTGCTCACCGTCACTAAGCCCTGCAAAACGTATTTACAGGTACTTGAGACCAACCTATGGTGAGGCTCGAAGATATGATCGCTGCCGACCTTCTCGGGGCAGAGCTTGATTGCCTGGACGTATTTTTCCAAGACTTCTCCCGGTGTGTACATGTCAGCTTTCTTCAGAAGCTTGCCCATACACTTTCCGATCATATAATAAGCTCTGCTAATGGTCAGTATGACTCTTGCACACGCGGAAATCGCTATGGAGGGTACGGTACGGCACTTACTTCCAATTATCGGGGGCTTGTTGTAAAGACTTTTTGAATAGTGCCATGGCAAGTTTTAACCCGTTGGTGGGTAATAGACCTTTGTGCGCAGCGGCTTTATATACACCTTCTCCGCGTGTCCCCGAAAAATGCCTATCAAATCCCTCTATAGAGAACGCTTCCATCTCCATCGGAGCTCTAAGGGCGGAGTAGACCCTTGTGCCAAAATCAACAAAGAGGGTAGACAGAGTTTTCGCACATTCCGGGTTTTCGATGCGTTCGTTCTGAATAGCAAGCGATAATGTCTTCATGTAACATAGTATTGCTTTCTGCATAATGGTGTTAGCAGTGGGTTGAGGATGTTTGGAGGGGCACGAGATTCGTAGGAGAGAGAGAAGCATACTCGTTCTAGAGCGGCAAGTTCCCCTCTCTTAGTGTTAATCTGTTCGGCACTCCAGGTCTGGCCGTCCTCCATTTGTGCTTCATAAGTCTGGCCAAGTCGATACCAAGTCTCCCATTTATCGGCGTTGCACACTAGATCGTATTTAAAGAACCTCACCGCATTTTCCACATCATCTGGTTTTATTGATCCAACTCGCTTCTGGTATTTGATGGGAAAGAGGTAGATCTTCCCAAGAGTGAAATAGAGGCCCTTCGCTGCTACTTGAGCATGCAGACCATTCACTTCGGTGGTATTGAGTGAACCCTCACCTTTCAGGCTGTTGAATAACTTGAGGGGGTTTATAGAGCTGCGAAGGTACCGATCTATGACTGATTCGTTGAGGACGATCTTATTATTTGAGGACTTTCTAGGAGGGCCGAGAACCTCGAAAAACCTCTCCAGGGCACCTTTCACGTCTGATTTGTGTAGCTGCATATCCTTCTTTTGAGATGCTAGGAGGAGGATGAAATCCATCAACTGCATAGCTGTCGCTTTGTCGAAGGGTTCTGGATCCGTCTTATGGTCGTTGAAGATAACCTGGTCAGACTGCAATTGCCGAAGTTAGAAGGGCGTTATACTGTGAACACGGTGGGATTGTTTACGCATATGGCAATGTGAAATCGACAGAATATGCACTGCAACAGATCGTGGTCAAAATCTCGAAGATCGAGCCTCAGAAGTTCATCATGCGTTAGTCTCAGTAACGTATCTGGGTTTCCGAAAATTAGCTGCGGCCCGGCGGGAGGCTTCGTAGTGGGGGGCGCAAGCTTACGGTCTGATAACCGGCAGTAGTTTCTGCCCCCGAGCTCCTGATGCATGTCCCTTAGGAGAGTCGCTAATCGTTCCTCCTTCTCTCCTTCCTCTAAGTCAAGGCTGTCGCTACCCATCCCCCTGTCGGCTGTTTCTTTATAAATTGAGTACATCACTACCCAAGCTCGTACCATCATTTCCCTAAACTTCACTACGACTAGGCGGTAAGAATGTAGGTTGCTAGCCGTGATCTCATGGTTGAGGACTGCACTCTCCCAAAAAGCGTAACAATGTAAGAGTCTCAGCAAGATAGTCATTGACTTCATCGAGTCCACCAGCCCATCTCGGTCGATTTCGGACAAATTCACAAACCCATTACCCCCAGAGACGAGTCCCAGGATTACGGGCAACATCTCTTCCACGAGGCGTAATGACCGCAGTAGAACAAAGTGGCGATGGTCCTCCGAAGATTCGAGGTAACTCCTACTTTTCAAATCGCCAACCACAACCTCTAATGATCTCAATACGCAAGAAAGCACTTTTGGGCGATAGCCTACTTTTTCATAGGCTACCTTGAGCTTTTCCCAGAGGTGCAATCTAAACATTGCACTGGAGCCTTCAAGAAATCTGGTTATTTCTTCGAGTATCCGGCGCTCTTGCTCGTCGTACGGGCTAACCACCCCAGGCTCCAGAACGGCTTCAAGAATTTCGATAACCTCATTAGGATCTTTTTCGGCGCCTCCTATACTGGTTGTGACTTGAAATATAGATGTAAAGAAATCAACGGTCTTAAGCTTACTGATTTCCCGATCGGCCCTAAGAGCTGAGATTTCTGGCATGATGGAGCTGTTGGGAAGCTCAATTGAGTGGAGCTTATTGTTGGACATAATACCCTTCAAATCGCCAAAGCATTCCAGCCTGAACTCTCTGGAAACACCGGTAAATGCCGTAAAAACTGCAATAGCCCAAAGACATCTCATGGTCAATTGGTCCTCCACAATGCCATCACTACCTCTTGGACGACAATACATCAGATCTCTGACAAGGAAACTCCATCTCTTTGCCTTTTCCCTCCTGATCTCCAATTCTTCCTCTCCCCGGACTGAGAGCTCAGCACCGCTCTTTTGCCGCTCTCCTGCCGCCAAGTCACCGAGATATATTTCAAACATGGTTTGGGCCCACTCGATTATGGCGTAATCGTCATCTCCAAATGGGTGAGGATGACCCGCAAAGTTTTCAAGATATCCCTTGAAGTAACCCCAGCACATTTCCTCGCACACATTAGCCATTGCGGTTACAACCTCTTTCAATGGCTCTGGCCAGCTATGCCGAATCCAACTGCTGGCTGTCGATGTTCCCAACGACCCCCGAGTCTTCCTAGTCTTTCCTAAGTTGGGCACATCCCGCATGCAGAGGGCTTTCAGCCACTCAAAGCCTGCCTCTAATGGACTCAAACCGCGGGCGTTGACAGAGTTGACCCATTTTCTGAGATTTTCGTCACCGGATAGAACGGGCCGGGATGGGACATTTGCTTCTAGGTCTAGAAAGGCCATCCCCTGGGAGGCTTCGTCGGGGGATTGTATACCGTCTCCGTATAACAGGACATTTCCCTTGTCATCATCCCAGTCCTGTAGTATCTTTTTGAAGTCATCGAGATATAAATCCTCATTAGCCCCGTTGTTTTCGCCACTAATGCTGCTCGTCTTGGGCATTAAACTTGAGGCAGTTCCCAATGAAACACCCAGGGGCGAAAAGCATTCATCGGCGGTGTTAAACAGTCTCTCATTCTGCGTTTCCCGCCGAACCTTTTGCTTGGACTCGGGAGCTGCCGCAGCCGCAGCCGCAGCCGCAGCGTCTGCCTCCTTCTTATCACGTTGTCTCTTACTCAACCTTGACCTCCCTCCATCCCCGCCATCTGCTCCTAATGAAGCAGACTTACGTTTTCGGGTCGCAGAGCCACTTCGACGCCGTCCGGCAGCAGGGGGAGGTGCAAGCTCCACAACAGAGGCATCAGTCATGGCGGTATCCTCGTTCTCTTCGGCAGTTGCTGTTTCTGATTTCCCACCAGATCCAGGAGTAGGCTCATCGGGGGTGGTTTCTCGAGACATATCCTCTCCCTCTAGGATAGGGATAATAATATGCAAACACGATGATGCATTCAGGGCTTGTACCGAAGTGTCATCGCTAGATATCTGGGACAGAATTGCATTACCGACGCCTGGCCATGTTCTTAACGAAGACTCGGCTGTCTGCTTATTTATTGTTATTTGTTGTAGAACATCCCCAAGAGTTTTTGTATCTTCCTCCTTCGGAAGAGGGATCCAGGGATACGGGTTTGTGTATTTCCGGAATCGTGGATGTAATTTTTGCTTCGATAGATGTTTGATTTTGTCGCTCTCTAGAACTGCCGTATCACAAACCTTCCTGAGGACATCCCTAAGCTGTATGGTGGCAAGATATTCTTCCGGATTAGGGATTCCGCCTACCACAAGTGCAAGCGTATCGCTTCCCGAATCTGCGCCGACGGTTTCGTGGTCCAGTACTGACTCTAAGGCGAACCGGTTGAGGCGGCAGGAGTCAATCGCTAACGATAGCTGAGCAGCCTTGCGCCACAAAGAAGAATCTCCTGCATCCCTTCCGAGCGCTGTGGAAAACCAGTCCAGCGCCTGTTGAATTGTAAGCTCGAACTCCGACCCAGCTTCAACTCCGCTAGCCTTTAATCTGTCCAGTTTGAAGGCGCCGTGGTTCTTGTATGCTAAATACAAAACAAGAGGCAGCGAAGATCCAGGAGCCGAACCCCTTCCATGAACCTAAAACAATTGCGCAATATTAAGAGCTTGGCCCTAGATTAACTTAAGGAGGGTATGAGTTACCTGTTCCTCTTCCGCATTACCTTGGAATACCCCGGAGCCAAACAGTTCGTCATAAGCTTTATGTGCCTCTTCCCATTCACCATCTGTATGTAATTTTAGTGCCCGTTGGTAAAGCTTCAGAGCTTCTTCGATCTGTTAAGGGTAAATTTAGTGCGCTATAATTCGTTGTAATAAATGGAATTAACGAACTTGTATTTCTCGAGTATTATCGGCTTCTCCATCGCTGTCGGAGTCTGGATATACGTTTAGAGGGATAAAGGAAGACTATCGGTTAAGGTTAGCATATTTGCTGCATCTTGCAGAAGAGAGTAAGTACCATCGAGCAGAGATGAAAGGCTTAAGCAACTTGAAGCTTTACCGAATTGCTGAGTTATTGTACACAGGGACTCCTGGTAGCCTCCTAATATGGGAGAGAGAGAGGGGGGATTATGATGGGCTGTAGTGGTTTAGTGGGCAGGGTCGAGGGTCAATGGTAGAGATCGCGTCGTGCTGGTGGGACACTCCCGTAGGTTGTGTGGGGGATGCGCGTTGCGGTTTGCCAAGAAGGAGAGGGTGGTCTTGCAGAGCCAAGGATTGAGGCTCTTACGCCCAGGCTTGTCAGGTGGCTTGCGCACAAATTTTTCTGTAGAGGCGAAGTGTGCTAGTACGAGTATGATGGAAGTACTGTACTTTTGCTGGTAT